TGTCATGCAGGACAGTATCAAATGCTTCCCTTAAGTCCAGGTGGATGATGTCAGTCACTCTTCCCTTATCCACCCATGCTGTCATCCTGTTGTAGATGGCCACCAAGTTTGCCAGGCACAATTTGCACCTACTGAAGCTATGCTGACTCTCACCAACCACCTTCTCATTTTCCATGTCCCTTAGCATAGTTTCCAGGAGGATCTGTTCCACAGTCTTGCTGGGCACCAAGGTAAGACTGACTGGCCTGCAGCTTCTCAGGTTTCCCTTTTTTAAAAATGGGAGTTATATTAACCCTCTTCCAGTCAGTAGGAACTTCACCAGACTGCTGTGCCTTCTCAAATACAATGGATAATGGCTTAGAAACTTCATCTGCCAGTTCCCTCAGGACTGATTGTTCTCATTGTGAAAAACTTTCCTCCTCTTGTCCAGTCAGAATCTCCCCAGGAGTAAATTGTGCCCATTACACCCTTGTCTTTCCCATGTGACTTCTTTTAAAAAGGGAGTCTCCATCTCCTTTGTAGCCACCCTTTAAATACTGGAACATGGTGATAAGGTCTCCCCCGAGCCTTCTTTTCTCAAGGCTGAACAAACCCAGCTCTCTCAGCCTTTCTGCACATGGCAGGCTTCCCAGTCCTTTGGTCACCTTTGTGGCTCTTCTCTGGACCATCTCCAGCCTGGCCACATCTTTTTTGTGTAGCAGGGACAAAAACTCAACACAGTATCCCAGATGTAGCCTGACAAGTACTGAGCGAGATAATGTCATCTTTATCTCCACTGGTGATGCCCTTGTTGATGTACCCCAGCATCCTGTTGTTTGTCTTTGCCACAGCTGCACACTGTTCACTCATATTGAGCTTGCTGTCTACCATGACGCCCAGGTCCCCTTCCACAGAGCTGCTCTCCAGCCAAGCAGATCCTAGCGTATGCTGTACTCTTGGATTGCAACTACCCCAGACCAAGCTTTCCAAGACCTTCTCATTCTCCCAACCCATACCTTTGATGCAAAGGTCCCAGCTGCATTTCTCCAGGATGTGAATCACAGATAGCCAATCTATACAATAATTGCCCTTTCCAGCTCCAGATTATGAAATATCTGCCAATTTAACAGATGTACAGCAGCACACTGTCTACTTTTTAAGTATGTACTATAAAACTGTTCAACACCACATTTTTTAATCCAACAGACAAGGATCTTAAGTCACCTAGTGCTGCTTTCTGCCTTAAGTACAGCTTCAGTGTTATTTCAAGTTTCAAGAAGGAAAAAACCAAAACCAAAACCAACCACCCCACTCTCTCCAAACAGATCACTGAATATCCACAAATTAATCTATTAGCAGCATTACTTCTAGAGGTGGACCAGGTCCAAAATATGCAAGAGGAAGTTTGACAGAGTTTGAGGGAGGCAATACCAGAGAAGTAGTACTGTAATGAAAGATGATAATACAGAGCACATTCACTGATACTATACTTAGTAACTCTACAGAAGCCTGATACCTGACTCTGCTGACCTAAGGCTCCATCTCTACTAAATACAGCTTATTCCAGGTGGAAATGGCTACAAAAGCAGCCTACTCAACATCAGCACTACCTAACTTCTACCCAGTATTCTTTTAGGGGATGCTTCAAAGGAAACATTTTCTAGTCTTCCGTGTAGAAAGTGAGACACAAGTTACACATACTGGATCCATAACCCCTTCCTTCTCCTCAGCACTGAAGCCTCCAATTGCACTCTAGATTATATCACAAACAGTCTAGCTGTGCCAAGAGAAACCAGACCTAAGGAAGTATCTAATCAAACATCACAAATGCGTGTTAAAGTCTGTTCCTTTTAAAGATCATTACATCCAATGGTTTCCCCACAGCACTCCTCTTGTGGCAAAGGTCATCAACTTCAGTGAAATAGTCAGGTTCCTCTTCTACTTGGAATATGCAAAGCATAACACAAGAGAGGAACATAACCTTTCAGCCAGACTAAGAAAAAGGGGAAAAGAAACTTAAAAGAACAACTGTCACCCTGACTATACTTCAGAAACTACCTACCTTCAAAAGGCAAATTCAAAACATGGAAATCACCACAGTGCACCACAGCACTACTGGAGGTCCCGAAAAAAGATTCTTCTTTTCTGCTGGTGGGTTTCCCCTTAGATTGCTTCAATACAACCACTAATTACAGGCCCTGATCTTACCTCCCAGTTCTCTGCTTCAAATTGCTTCCACTTTTAAGCAGTGTCTTGTTTGGTTTTTTTCCTTAAGAATAAAAAACAGCTTCACTCATAGTCATTAAAACATTTCCCCCTCCCTGCAATGCTAAAATTTTGCCCTAGCTTTAAACCATAGCATCACACTGTGTGAGGCCATAAAAGGGTCTCTCACAGCACTTAGCCTAAATTGTTACAAGGAAAGCAGAAAAGCAGCATAGGAAGCCAGAATCCAGTAGCTCCAGGCTCCTTACCTCTCCACCATCCGAATTTGAAAACGGTATGGAGAAAATCCAAAACGCTAAAACTAAGGACTACTAGTGCCATCTGGAGGCCATACAGAACAGCCCACCTAAAGTTTCCTGCCAACCTCTAGAGAGCAACACTCAGGCATGAGCAATGAGAGCTTGCCAGCACATGCTGCACAAACATACCAACTTTACAACCATAGAAGAAGGGAAAAGCTTTAGAGTAATTAAAGATATTGGTTGGAATAAGTTTATACCTCTCATCTGAAAGCATTCAAGTTTTGCTACAAGCCTTTAGCCATAGCTGACACTACAGCTGAAATTATCTAGTGAGCAGCTGAAGTTCAGTAACAGAACTACAGCTACCCTCCAGAGTCAGGACTGTCCTTCGACCAGAGATAACATCTCATTATTCCCCCTACACCAGTCCCACAGTCATACTGGTAGAGCTCACCATATCACAGAGCAGCATTAAGATACCAAGTGCCATTTAGTCTCCATATACTACCTACCTCTCACAGAGAGCTGTAAGATGGGATGCAATTTGAAGGGAAGACTAAGTACCATTAGTAATACTGTGATGTCCTGAACATGTTCCACTTGCCATATATGTGGACAACATGTGCTCTAGCTTTGATTATAGTTTACACAAATGGGACCTAAACACATTTAAGACTTAAGGATTTTGGAACACTGAAAAGGAATTTACAAGTACTACTGCCATCAGATGGAGAGTCCAGAAATATTAAGAACAATGCTTTTGGATGGATACCCAGAAAGAAAACTTACTTGGTTGCAGTAAGTTTCTACCTATCACTCAAAAGGATTCAACTGAAAAGTGATTTTACAGGGGCCATTTGAGTGCTCAGGTCTTAAGCCATGCCATCCACTGCTCTCCCTTTGTCCCCTCTACATCATGTCATGACAAGCCTAATGGTGCAAAGAGAAACCAGACTTAAGGAAGTATCTAATCAAACATCATGTCTATGTTTTATACAAAGTCTGTTCCTTTTAAAGATCATTACATCTTACGGTTTCCCAACAGCACTCCTTTTCTGGTTGAGACCACCAACTTTAGAAATCAGTCCTCTTCTACATGGAACATGCAAATTCAGTTGGTGAGAGGTAAGGAACGTGGAGCCACTGGATTCTCAAGCAAAACATGTCACTCTACTGTCAGAGACAAAAATGCTGTTTATCATAGACCTTGCACACTTGCCCCAGAGTAGAACATTTGCTTCTTACACGGATTGATTTTTCCAGAAGTAAACTCAGTTATAATAAGATCAGTAGAACTATCTTTAAGACATCAAGAATGGTGCAAATTGTATTTGGGAGGCCTGGTATGCACTCCCCATTTTCAGAGCATCCTAGCAAGCTACTCATATCAACGATATTGTTTCCCTGCTCACTTGCCGCTAATATTCAATATAAGCAACTAGTAATTTAACTGCTGATTCCCAAGAGTGAAGTCTTACATGCCAGGCACATTTAAGGCTCCTTTTCTAAAGTGAATATAGTTGTCAAGTTTTCCACTAATCAAGATGAGCTACCCCTTCCTGTCCCTCTTTAGGGGAACAATCTGTTCACATTGTCCTTGCAGGCAGGGGCACAGCACAACACAGCTGAAGAGGATACGCTTGTCAATTTAAAGGAGGATATTTCTTCTAGGATCATTATTAATATACCCTTTTGGATCCAATATCCACTTTGGATAAAGGGAAGTTGGATTTAGTATCTGCCTAAGTTAGAGCCATGCAGGCTTGAAAAGCAGAGATATTCTTTCCGGTATGCCAGATACGCGTGTAAGACTCAGCGTTGCTTAAAACTGTTGCAGGCAGTTCTATGATGATCTCTTCTCACTACTCCAGTTAAATTGCTGATCTGCTGGAAATTTAGAGAGGTGATTATTTCAAATGTACTAGTTACTATAGACAGGTATTAAGTTAAACTTCTTTATTTTTGGTAGGTAAGTGTTCCTCCTGGGAATCTTAAGTATCTTTCACAACTTGCATGCAAAAGGAAATTGACATCTTGCCAGATAAGAACAGTGAACTAGTCTAAACCCACTTACTCTACACTGTAGAAAACACAAACACTGACCTAAAATTTAGAAGAACAATTGGAAGTAGTAAAACAAAAGCAAATATAAACAACAGGTCTCCAACAGCTTTTGTCTTTAGGATTAAGCAGGAATTGAGAATGTTTAGATTCCCTGCACCAGGGAGGATGGATAATTGGCACAAAACCACCAAGAGTCCAAAGACGTTTCAGACAGAACCCGACCTTGAAAGTGAAAACACCAATCCTAGTGTGTGTGGCTGTTCAACATTTAAGAGTTGAAAGCTTGCTTCATTTATTATATATGTAATAAAGTCCCTCACTTAAAGATTCTATAGTCTATATAAAGTTATGGACACAGCATGATGAGGTATCATATTTAATCTTCGCAGAACTCACCAACTGGCATTTCCCTCATTTGCTATTGTGCCTAGATTACAGAGGCAAGCCAAAATATCTCTGGATCACAGAGAAAGAAGAAGTTTTCCCTACCTGGCCAATCCTTCCTCATAGAGATAGATGACAAGTGGATCATAGGATGTAACCAGAACATAGAGGCGCACATCAAACTTGAAATCTGAAATACAGTTGTCAAGAGGCAGTGACTGTTAAGTATCTTTCAGACATCGTATCCAGATAAGGAATTTCAACAGACCCCAAGAGCAATACGCCATTATCTGCTATTGGCATAGGTGCCTGAAGCTTTCCCAGCTGAAAACCTTCTAGATTTTGAGAAATTTTCTAGTTACATTTTTCCAGTACCAGAGACAGACCAACCAATTATTCAACTAAGTTCCCGCAAAGGTTTCAATGATTCTCATGTGTGGGGTTGGGGGAAGAGAGAAAAGCAATTCCTAAACATACCATCTATGAGCAAGGGGTTGCTGATATAACGAGAAACCAGGATGTTGTCTTCCAGGACAATCTCGCTTGGCTGCAGAAGAACAAAGAATACAAGAGTGAAAAAACGGGAGACTTAAGGAATAAGTCAACTAGATCAAAACCACTATTTTTTCCAGCCTTTCCCTCCTAAAACCATTCTGTGTCAACAACTACATCTGAAGGGGGAGGAACCAAAACCAAAGGAACACACACCATTGTCAGTCACAACATACTTAAGGTAATTAGATCCAAACCAGAAGTCCAGGAATGATTACATTGCTGGAGAAAACAAAAACAAAACAAAACAAACAAAAAAATGCCATTGAGTCATCCAGTTCAGTGCTCCTTAGGGTAGGATACAGATTTAACAGCCATAAGGCACCGACTACGGAATAGGCAGGAAAACACGCACATCTAAGAAGTAACTGTCACTCAGTTTGCTTCTCAAGTGTTTAACAAAAAAAAATAGCAGAGGGGTTAAAAAGACACTGGAAGGATACAGCTGGTGAGCAATCACATGGAAAAAATTAAAAAAAAAGGTCTCCTCAACTTGTGATCTTTACAGCTAGATCCTGCGCTGGCACCCAACCTTTTTGTCTACGTGAGTAAATACCTTCTTATGGGGTTAATGATACCAGGAAGATGCTACCCTTGTAGCTCAAAGCAGAAAGCTTTATCTATGACATACATCGCAAAGTCATGAGATCTGTTGAAAAAAGCTTTTACTTTTTGCTATTTATAAGACTTTCTCTTGTAACCGGTTTCAACTACTCATGCAAACAGTTTCTTGCAAAACATGTGGCTCTTTCACAAGCTGAAGAGAGCCCCATCATCCTGCCTTTATCCGATTCTGCATGTGTTCACCCCATCACCAGCAGGAGCTGGTGCTCACCTCATCGTAAGAAGGAAGCCTAGACATACAGAGTGCACATATACAACATGAGGGAAAAAAAGTCAACTTCCCTCAGCACATCACACAACAGTGACAGACTGATTTATTATGGATCAGAGAAATCCAAAGCTTTGCTATTTTTTTTGAGGTTTCTATTGTTGTTTTTAAACACTTTTGTGATGAGACTCTAGAAGACACTCACTTAATGGCATCACACTTGAAGGAGATTTAAATTATTGGGCCAAACCAGCTGAAGTGTTTCTGGAACAGATATACACAAAGGGAGATTGGTCCCAGAAGTGTCTTTTCCCCAGTTCATGGCCAACTGCCATATAAGCCTGAGCTCATTCCTCTCTTTCAAGCAAAGAAAAAGCTGAGCACAGCTCTGGAAATACTTACCTCATACACTTGGCAAATTTTATGGGAAATGATCCAAGTAGGGAACAGATGAGGCAGCATGACCCCTTCAGTACAGAGAAGGCTAAAGGGGTTCAAGTGAGTGAAACCAAAATGACTCACCAGTCAGTTTTGCTGCTGAGAATATTATTGGAAACCCCTCCTGCCCAGATATACGTGGTACCTATGACAACTTAACTTCCTGGAATGCCCAAGAAGGGCAAAAGACACTATAACCAGCACATTGAATTCAAAGAACCACTCCCATTACACCTCAGTAAGGGCACACAGCTCTAAGATTGATACACTAATATTTCATTTTAAGGTTTCACTTTTATCTGGTCTTTTCCAGGGGGAAGAGGGAGGCAAGGGGACTGTTTATGTCACACAGGGAAACAACTAAGGAGAGTTCTGGGAATCTTCTCAAGGCCAGCCTATACTGTCAGCCACAAGGAAAACATGAAGAAGCACAGCTTCCCAAAAAACTGTCCCAGGATGCATGAACTTGCTCTTAATAAGCTAAGACTTGAAAGTGGGTTGCATGGTAACAGCAGAATGTAAAGAAATAGACTGCATTTGGTTACACAACATCAGAGGAGGAATTTGCCAGCTGCTGCTCACCAATGTATGTGGTGAAATCCAGGGCAGGGCCAGTGTCTGGTTAGATGTTTCTGTACCCCTTGCCTGGAAGCTGGTATAGTTCCACAGACAGTTCTACTAAAGAACAGTCCTTTTGCTGAACACTTACATTGTTTATGAGGTAGACACCTCGACCCCTGGAAGAGGCCACAGGCTTCACTATCCACGGACCTCTGTCCTTAGAATAGGTACCTGGTTAAAAGAAAACAGCACTAGTCTGAAACATTTTCCATTTTGCTTATTTACAGAAGAGCAAGAACCAAGAATGTTGTCTATAGCAAAAGCTTCAGAAAACTCCACAAGGAAATGAAAGTCTACTTTTTTTGCTGTTCTATTTTACCTCCTGGGATTCACCGCAATTATTACTGTCCATCCCTAAAGTCCCTCCTGCTGCATCAATAGATTAATTTTCTTGCTCTATACCTCCCCTTCTGGCATTTCTCTCTCCAGAAATCCCACATATTAGGGTTATTGTGAAGTTGATCATCAACAATAATGTGCACATAAAGGCTCAATTCTGGACCCTCAAGCCCACATCAGCTTCTTGAGGACTTATGCAGACACAAAGAAAGCAGTAGAGTAGAAATTATACAAAGAAATTGTGGGCCTTTTCCACTGTTTTTCTAGTTTCCTCTAATTTTGTTGCCTTAACCACTGGCATGCTCAACAGGCTAGGGTATTAAAAATAATTCCCTTTATCCCACCCATTTATCTTGCTTTAGGTCAACCATTCACTTACTGCAGAAGTTCTGGTACTCTGTTGGAAGGATAAAGGTCCGAGGTAAGATATGGAATGTTTTGAATCCATGGGCCAGCTGCATACGACTGACATTCTTGTACAGTCTGTCCTTCCGTGTCAGTTCATATGACCTGAAGTCCCAAAACAAGAGACTGTATTTCCCTGATACACAAAAAAAAACAACCCCACACACATTACAGCAACCTTTTGTCCTAGTTACTAAAGCATTTGTAGCCCTGTCAGATGTCTAAACCCTAACCTGGAACTACTCTTCAGTTTTATTGTCTCTATCCTGTGGCCATATTAATATGCACTCCCAAGACAGACTGAAGCACAGCAAACTGTTATAATAGTGTTTGTAAACTTCTGCAGGTGACATATGACTATTTCTATAGCTAAGAACCCAAAGCCCAAAATACTTATACCACCAAATACAGAAAAAGGAAAAACAAACAAACATAAAAACCAAACAAACAAAAACCCCAAATCCTGTATTTGGGCTACAGACAGGCACTTCAACTCTCATACTATCTCCCCAAAAAGTCCATTTAGAATGAAGATAGCATGTGGCAGAGGCCCAGTGCATTGGGACTTTCTGGTAATATGCATTCTCTATTTTTTTATTTTTTTTTTAGATCTATCCATGTCCAGATTTTTGCAGGCCATCACAAAGGTGTTCAGCAAAACAAGATATCAAGGCCTTACCTAGGGAAGTGATTGACTTTCTGAATATCTGTAAGAGAACGCAGCAAGTAGGTCTTCAAGTGTGATCCTGTCCACATGAGATTGTAATCGCTGCTACCAGGTTGCGCCTAAAAAGTGACACAAAACCACCACAGACGTAAGAACACAGAACTGATGAAAAGCACCAACACTTGTTCTATATACTGTGACCTTATGTCTACAACCAAGGCAATTCTTGTTTCAGACAAAACTCCTTTATCCATCTCCAGTATTAGGGCAACTCTAGCCAGACCCTTGTCCAGCAATCCTGGGAAATAACCATGTCATATTTTTCTAAACAAACATGTGGGTTTGCTCTTTTTACAGACTGTTTAAACACAAACCCTAAAGCACTTTAGATTTCTTCAGGAAACTTGTGAGACCAACACCTTAACTTGGTTTTATTCAGAAGAAAATCCACCATACATACACATCTTTCACTGTCATTAGCTGCACATGGGACATTCTTTAAAGCAAGACGTGCTAGAAGAGAAACATAAAACACTACACCAATGCTTATGTGAGCTTGCAAAAGCTGAGATTAGATCCTTCGGATCTTTCCAAGTGTGTGAGATGATGCTTTAAAAGCAAGAAGAGAAAAGACACATGGCCAAACTTCAGCATCTCTTTTTTTCCCTAATTTTGCAGGCTTAAGGCTAAAGGGTACTTCTTTAGGAGACCAAATCACAATATATTGCCTGTCTGACTGGTAGAGTAACACAGCAACTTCCAATACCCTAATCAGAGCTGACGTTTGCTGCACTTACCTCATGGAATCCATGGGCAGTCAGAATGCTTCGAACCAGACGGCCATCTGCTTGCACAATCTTATAGGACAAGTGGTAGCGTTCTGTTAAGAGGGCAAGAGACACAATATTAGAGTCTGCACCTGTGCCTATACTACCTGATCAGTATTAAAAATAAAATACAGGACATCCTAACAAATGCCTAGTTTGGGTTTGTTTTAAACAGCTCTTTATAGGCTGCTCTATAACACTGCAAACATGATTTCAGCATTTTCTCTATTCGAGTTTTGCATTCCTACCTGAAAGTAATCATCCCACATGCCCCTCACTGACATGGTTAGCTATATGTTCACTTTTTAGATCTTGAAAACTCGATATAAACCACTGAATTCTTGTTCATATCTCATTCACCTGTACTGATCTACCAATAAATAAGCTACAAAAAAAAAAGAAAAGCAGGAAATAAGGAAAGGACAAGGAAAGAAAAAGAGAAAAATTACTATCCAAGTAGAAGGTCATAAAAGCAAAAGCAGTAAGCAGCATTGGAGGTGGAAAATTAACAGAAAGCAAGCAGCAAGACCATAGGCCAGCTGCCATACAAAAGGATGTGGCAACACATAAAAGTTCAAAGAAAACAGAGGAAGAAATTGCAGTGGTAGAATCACATGGAGAAGGCACTTTAAATTGGTTCAAACTGAGAATAGAAAAATGAAGATTAAATTAAACCTCAGGAAATATAATCCACCTATTAAAGTAAGACTAAAGAAGAGAGTAAAAAGTATCATAATCTGGGATTGGACAAAGCTCAAGGGAATTTAACAAGTTGCACTATTCAGCAGCAGACTTAAGCCATGAAAAGCCTCTATCTCCTGAGAAAAATCAGACACACTGCACTCCAGTCAAGATACCAGTTACAATTACCATCAGCTTTTCTGTCACCATTCAAGTATGTATTTAATTCACATCAAAAGGATCAGGAGTTTCCACACACAAACCACCTTCTCCACCCCTTACCCCAATAGGCCAGAAGCATTTCTGCTTGAATAAGATATTAGAAATGAGGGCACCAATTACCTAAGAAAGGGAGAAGCAAGAGAAGAAAAGCAGTGTCATCATCTTCACAAAAAGAAGCTGAGTAGACTTAAGCTTTCCTCCAACTCAGCACATCCAGAATGAGCTCCCAGCTGTACACACCCGCAAAGTACTAACTCTTACAATCCAGTGACTGTTTATAACAACTCTCTCTTAGAGACTCTCCCTTTTTTGACACTAGATGGGTTTGGTCTCCTCACCTAAATGCTGCCAGAGCAGCAATCATTTTTTTTATAGCCTTACCCACAGTTGTGAGGCTGTAGGTGCAGAGATTTGTTACCAAAGCTCACTACTGTTATTATCACCATGGGACCAGCTGCTTCATATACCAGTGAAAACCACTCAGAACTCATTGCAATGAGTAAGTTCTTTGCTACAGAGTAGCAAATTTCATCAGTTCTACCACGGCCTCCAAGTTCAAACTGCAAGCAAGCAGTTTCAACTCAAAACACATCAGGACCCAGTGGAGGGGCAAATATAGACACACCTTTACCAGGCGGTCAAGTATTTCTGACCACCTCAGTGCTCAAAGACAAGAAAGGACTGTCATTTCCTTCCTACCATGTCCTCTTCCCCACCATAAAGAGAAGCAAATATCAAGGTAAGAGACTTCCACCTCATGCCTTCAAGCCAACAGCGGGTACATAGTGGCACCTACCTCCAATTAGGCGGAGGTAGCTGTCATTGGTCAGAATGGCTTCTGCATGAAACACCAAGATGGGGATCCGCCTGCAGCCACCACCAGTCCACTTGATACACGGATGATCTCTGAAACAGCAAGACAGTCAGTATAAGCAATTGCTGAATCTCACACACACTAGTTACTTACAATGAGGACACAGCAGTTCTCCACTCTTGCCCATGCTTGCTCCCCTAGCCTGTGGGCAGGACACAGGCAAACATGCTGTATGAAAATAACGGAAGATTGGCGAGGAAGATTGTAAACATGCTTAAGTGACTTGCAGCTGGGGTGCAGAAAAACACATACCACCCTAATTCTTGTCTATCCTTGTGCGTTTGACAAGTAGAACATCTGTGTTCAGATAACATAGGCCTGTGATAGACTTAGAGGCACCCTATCAAACGTGGCTAGGATTCCTGCCCTGCTGTGGGAAAGATCAAAGCACAGTGCCAAAAACTACATCTGTGTGAATCCGTGGAAAACAGGCACAAACAGCAGGTTCAGCAATCCTCTAGCAAGGACTGAGTTCTGTGGTGCCTGTGTTCCCACTTGCATGCTTCTGCCTGGGTGCTGCTTCAAGGATCCCCCAGTTGGTGAGGTAATGAAAATAAACTTACTCTTTGCATTTCAGCTGTGGCTTTGTGGTTGTTCCTGTGCCCTGCCTGGGCTGACTCACACACACAAGCTAGGCACCCTTGATACTCAACTATAAAGGGAATCTTCCTTCTTTTGGGTTAGTCTTGCCAGTCTAAGCCAGAGCGCTGTTTAATTTGTATTTATTTTACTGAGTATAATTTGTAAGAAAACCCTTGAGTTTTCACAGCTACAGTTCTTTGGATCTGTAGCCTGAAAACAGGATCTATAATTCTGGGTAAAACATAATTGATGGTATTCACAACCAGATCTTACAATGCAGGTTCCAGTCTCCAATTTAAGAGCTGCAAATCAGTGTATGCTCCCTGGTTGTAATCCTGGACTCTAAAGCACACAAAAAGGCACTCATGCAGAGTTTGAGAGACTAGAACAATAAATAAACTTCTGTGTTCTTCCTTTTTAATTTCTGCCAGATGCAGTAGAATGCAAGCTCAGAATTCAACAATGACACCCCCAGCTAGTCGCTACAGGTTCTGAGATACAGTGATCAGTTCTGTCCAAAATAACAAGACTATATTGGGAATTATCATCTCCTCAGAGAAATTAAGGACACACACACAAAAAAAAAACAAAAAAAACACAAAACACCAACACAATCTGTTACATAAAATCCTAAAGTCACAGAAAGAAAAACTGTCAACCTCCCTAAGCAATTAAAACTCTGAATGCTTATTATTCACATAATATCTACAACAGACAAGAAGAAATAAAAACACTGGCAGTGATATATAGAAGCCTTTGTCTATAGAAAGTGCAAAATCACTACCAAAGGTTTGGAGAAACTACAAAAGACAAAACACTTCCCACACTTAGAACACAGGAACATATGTAAAAGGGCAACTTTCTGATGCTAGGGCAATTAAGTACTCTTATGTGTAACCCTGGTCATCCTAACCAAGTTATTACCATTATCACCCAGACAGATTAATTTCACAGCACTGCTTTCACCACCCCTACAGAAAAAATAAAATTAAAAAAATTCACTACAGGGATTTAAGTGGCTGTTCAGGCTGGAAGGGACCCAAGAAGCTTCCAGAATTTACAGTACAGGCCAGAGCCTTATATAAGTTGGAAATGAGCTGAAGCAACAAGATGGGAGTTTATGTTAAGCCCGTCCTGAGGATTTGCAGTAAGGCTCAATCCTCCAGGTGACAGTCATTCATCCCTAGCATGACCCTTTGTCACTTGATGCAGATACACTTTTGCAGCTACAGTCTAGATGAATGTCAGTTCTGGACTTTTCCATCCACAAGGGTCTGGCAGGTCTGAACCAACTACTTGGTATGAAACAACATTCCTCTAACTGCCTTAAGTCACTGCAGTTTGCAACTGAGCACTCAGTAATAATATGCACCCAAAAGAAAGCAAACAGGACATTTGAAAGTATGTCCAGCTGAAAGAGAAAAGAAATTCCACTCTGGAAAGAATAAGTAAAGATAAAAGAAGTTACTAAACTAAAGAACAAACACACACTAGTAAGTAATAAGAACTCTAGGAGTTGATTTTTTAACAAGACAGTTTTTGAAAAAGGACACAAAACACTGCATATCAGTCTACTGTAGAAAGTAAAAACTAAAAGAAAAAAAAAGAAAAAAAAAAGAAGGCGGCATTTATTTCCTTCATGCTCTTAAACATCATCAAGAAAGATTCCAGCTTCAGAACACAAGATGACATCAATGAAACTACAAGACTTTAGAGTAGCCAAGGAAGAGCCACTCCTCTGACCCTGATGAATAGATGAATATATTGGTCCTTTAGGTTACAAACGTAGGTAGCTTGCCCACAGACTTCAGACCCAAACTACCTATCTTTTGCTTTATAGATAGGAGGAGGGTAAGGAATGTAACTGTCTTTTCAGATTAGTACAAATCAGGAAACACAGGGAGATAGAAACAATTAAGCAGGTTTTTTCCTACTTACTCCAACTCATCAATGACATCTTCTTCCTCCTCCTCCTCCTGCTGTAAGGATAAGCCAGTTTCCTCCAGACCTCGAGCAATCCCAGCTGGCATTTCCTCTGCGAGTTTTCATACAGCCCAGTCCCGGTAGCCTCTGAGACTCCTTCCTACAGATTCAAGGGATCTTGCAGGAGCAGTTGCCTGCAGGAAGGATTAAAAGCATGAATGCACAGCTGAACAGGACAGCAAGACAAATAAGGTAACTTAACTCCCACCTCCTGTCAATACATATTTCTCACAGAACTATCACCAAGCTTGTTACAGGCAGTAAATCACCTGCTGGCCAGACGAGTGGAGGAAGAAGCATCACCTTCCACCAGATTTTTCCCCACCTGCCCGTGAGAGTCATTCAGGCGCTTACCGCTGAAGCGCTTCCCTGCTCTGCCCGCGGCCAGGGTCGCACCAGGCTGCCCAAGCCCGCCCAGCCCAGCCTAGCGGGAGACGCCCGCTCCTCCCTGGCGCCGAGAAAACGCCCAAGGCCAGCGCCTCTACCAGCACGGGAACAGCTCTGCGGCCCGGCCGCTTCCGGAGGGGAGACTGAGGCCCGGCCTACACCGCGGCGGGCAGGCCCGGTGACCTCCGGCGGCCCCACGAGAAACACGAACCACGGGGAGCGCCGAAGGGGCCACAACTCCTGCTCCGGTACCAATGGCCCCTCGCCCTAAGGCGGCAATTGCCTCAGCTCACCCGTACCTCTTCCCCCATTACCAGGGGCAGGGGGGCGCCGGGCCGGGTAAGCGGGCACGGCGGCCCAATGGCAACAGCCCCTCCCTCCGCTTCCCCGTTACTACAACAACCCACTGGCTGACCCCGCCTCTTCCCACTGCGCATGCGCCGATCACCGGCAGCCAGTGCGCAGACGCAACAGTCCTGCCGCGCCTACCGCCGCAGTACCGCCTCCTTTCCCACATGGTGGGCGGGGCCAATGAGGGGCGGGCCCGCCTCCCGGGCGCTGAGCGATTTGATTGGCGGTGGAAGCCCTCTCGTCAGCGTAGTGCGCGGGTGGAGTGGCGCGCCCGAGGCCAATGGGAGTGCTGGATGGTGGAGTGCGCTACTGGAGGGGGCGGGGCTGCGGTAGCGGGTGGTGTGGTCCTTGCGGGTTGGGGTCGTGTCGGCCGGGAGGATGAGTCGGTTCCTGAATGTGCTGCGCAGTTGGCTCGTGATGGTGTCGGTCATCGCCGCCGGGAACACGCTGCAGAGCTTCCGCGACCACGGCTTCCTCTCGGAGAAGCTGTACACCGCCAGCCCAGGGCTCGGTAAGAGCCGCGCCGGCGGCTGCTGTCGGGCCCGGGAGCGTTCTGCTCCCCGGCGGGGGTGGGGACGGCGGGCGGGGCTGTGCGTGGTTTCCATGTGCTCTCCCCTCTTCGCGCAGTGAACGGGCTCCAGGCTCGGACTTTCGGCGTCTGGACCCTGCTGTCGTCGGTGATCCGCTGTCTCTGCGCCATCGACATCCGCAATAGGACGTACGTAATGGAGTAAAGGAGCACCGGGAAATCCTTGTGTTTGTTTGCTAGTCACAGCCTCAGCAGTAGCTCACAGGGCGGCGCGGAGGATATTGGGATCAGAAGCTGCGCCTCATCTTCCTGTAGGGTTGAAAGCGTTCTACCAAAAAAGCCTAAATAGCAGTGTGGGATTTGTATGTTAACTCGTGTTCCCTCCTGACTCTGAGGGGAGAGCCTGCCCATTTAAGTTCTGTTTCTTAGCTCAGGCAGAAATTAATAGATCTGAGAACTTAGGTCAGACATTTCTGAGCTCCAGCTTGGAAAGCATCTTCTGATGGCATTGCTGCCTTGATGACATTAAGCAATTGCTAATGCTGTGGTCTGACTGATAGTGCTTCTTCTGTGACAGCCCAGCTAAAGACTGTGGCAGGTTGAGATGCCCCTTGAAGAAGTCTTAACCCACCACCTTCTTCCACATGCTCTTACTGGGGTCTAAGGACAAGGCCTGAGGCACACCCTGATGCTGTGGTGGGAGGAAGGCCATTTCTCCCTGTGTTAACAGAGGTATTTCTGAGAGGAGTTTCCAAGCAGGCTGACTGTAGGTTTGTGCTAGACAAAGCCTGAGCTGGAAGGTGCTTAGACTCACCCTTCTGTCACTGCCTCCTCCAACCCCGCAGCAGAAGTAACTGTTAACATGGCAGCATGTCCTTGGGTTGCCTAGGTTTGTCTGTGGTAGGAAGGTGGAGATACTCAATTATCTGTTTTTAGGGGGTGATGACAATGCCAATTCCCACTGAGCCAGTTGTTTCTTAAGATTCTTTACCTTGTCTTTTGGACCTGCTCCTTTTAACAGCTGTGGCCCCTAGAGGGTAGCAGAACATAAGTGGGAAATCGTGTTGGGTGATGCAGCCTGGAGTCAGCCCAGTCCCGCCACCGTGGTTCTCAGTTCATCCAATTCTCACCTTTTTGTGTGCACACATGCTTCTCACTTCACCAGTGCCATATCCTTGCCCTCCCCTCTTCACCTGCCTTCAAGGCAGGTAACGCCTGTGATTTTTCAATGCACCCCACTGATTTAAATGAACACTGCCTTGTTCTCTCAGTTGTTGCCCAAGCAGCTTTTGCACCTCACTAGGCAAGGGACCCTAAGTGCCCTCTGTGCTTCCCCAGTGGGGACAGATGGGGAAGCATGCAGGTATGCCTTTTTTCTACTCAGCCATGCTCATGTTCATACTATGGGCTACATGATAACTTACTTCTTTCTGCTCTCCAACAGCCTCTATTACATCACACTCTTCACCTTCTTTTTGGCCCTTGTTCACTTCCTTTCCGAGGTCTTCATTTACCATACTGCAGCCTTGACAATTGGAATTATGGCACCCCTCATGGTAGCAAGTAAGTAGAGCTCTGCATCCTCTCCCCACAAACTCTCCTTGGAGCTGTGACACGACACACCCCACCCCCCCCACCCCCGAAGAAAAGTCTCTATGGGGCTATAACATAAGATCAGGGAGGCAGTGGTGGGAGAAAATACCTCATCCCCTGGACAAACTCATGCAAACTCATCCTGTATCTCTGTCACAGGTTTCTCTGTTTTGGGGATGTTGATTGGGCTGCAGTACCTGGAGGTAGAAGCACTGTCACAGAACAAGAAGAAAAACTGAAGCTGAGGGCTGGGTGTAGGTCAGCATTGTCTCCTATCTTCACTGCCAAACTTCCACTAAAACTCTAGGACACCAGGCCCACTAGTGGATCAATGTTGGACTGTCAGTGTCTCACCATTACTAAGTTTTTTTCTTGTCCAAGGAACATTTCAACTGACTGATGTCAAAAGAGCAAGTCCCAGAGGAGTTTGTGTTAAAGCTTGCAGGGGCCAGTTAGTGACTGCCTCCCTGGAGAGCAGGCAATGTCTCAGGCACGCCCAGTGCATTAAGGACTTCTCTCCCAGTGTGCGGAGGAGGTGTACAGCAACCCAGGATCAACTGAACTCTTCAGACCACAGAGAGAACACGTACTGCCCCTGGCACTGCTATGTAACTTGCATGTGTGTGTTCTTCAGGGGACTTTCTAATAAACGGCAGAAAACTACAAAATGCTATGTCTGTCTTTCTGCTACACAGCAGCAGGTAGAGGATGTACAACCTCAGAGCAAACAGCAAGTTCTTTGAAGTAAACCCTTTCCCTGACTCCTTCCCACAGAGTTGCAGGTCTGACTGTTCACATCACACACAGGAACACACTTCTGCAGCATACTGGTGACAGCAAACTGCATGTACCTGAGCTACCTTTGCTGTGAGTTAGAACTACATAAGACAGAGAAAACAGGATCAGGTTGCTTAGACCTGGATGAAATAATGCCCAAAGCAGATGGGCAGTGCACAGAAGGCAGGAAGGAAACAACAGGATCTCCTAGCTGGGAGGACAGTGCATGTGCAGAAGAAAAACACAGAAGGGAGGTAAAGCACAACGGTAGCATTGGGCAGAAAAATTCCTTTTCCATTCTGTGGAACATTTCATGCTATTAAAAGAGCCAGATGTAGACTGTTTCAACTATTTAATATGTGTCAGATTTCATTGTACACTTCAAATGTTTTTATATATATATAAACACTTCTATTAAAAAGCCATTTTAGACCCTCACCCTCAATCCCAAACTATGAAATAGGAATTGAATCTTTTCACGTGTCAAAGACTGCAGTTTCACACCCACACACAAAATAGAAATTTGTCAAAAATGGTATGTCAGAGAGGACTATTTTGATCTGTTCCACCTGGTTGTGGCTTTTGATTTAAGGAGTATAAGGACACTTGATGTCTCCACCAGTGGAGGAATGCTAGAAAAGAAGGAGGATCTATATTTGTATTAAGAGAAACAGCAGCATACAAAGTGGCAGTGTTTTATGAGACACAAATGCTGGTAAGAGGGCTTCTCCTGTTCTCTTATTACAAAGTGGGAAGCTTCCATACTGGAGCAGATCTGGATTTCAATCATACTCACCCTTGGCTGGTTATCTCAATATAACACTTCACAAAAGTTTGTAGCACTGAAACATGCAAAAGGCACTTTATCATTAAGGACAAAGTCCTCAGCCCAGGGAGCTTGTGGTTTGACTCATTCCTGTGGCTAGTGTAGTGATGAACTAGGCTTAGGCTACAGCTTCAACATAAGCTGCAGAACTAGTCCTTGCCTCGAGGCAGGAGGATTGGTGTCTCTCAATTATTCCTAACATATAGGAACATCAGGGCAACCTCAGTGAATTCCAGGCAGAGGTTTATCCACGAGAGTATTTCATCTGGGACAGCCACGTAATAAAACCAGAGCCAGCACTTGCTGGTGATGTGCTGAGGCCTCTACCATCACCTGTGCAACACAGAGCATCACAGGTACCAAAGCAGAGCAATCCCTCATCCTGAGAGACAGCTGAAAGCTTTTCTAGGGCTGCTCACAGAGCAAGCATCGTCCCGCTTCCACACTTCATCACAGCTTGCCTGTGAGAGGAAAGACAGACACATCCAGGGTGCCACCCTCATGTTCTCAGGGATAGCCTGGACCTATTCTCAGCTCTGCTTTTTCAAGCATACACGTTGGAGTAGGGGGGAAAACAGTGGGTTTTCCCAACTTTTCTTCCCAAGCAGGGAAGTCTCTAGAAGAGCAGCATGCAGACATGTAACTGAAGAGAGCAACTACCTTCTTGTTTTGCTCTTTCACACTCTTCACTGGGCTCCTATCCTGAGGCTTCCCCCCCACTCCCCCACAGCTCCTTCCATGGTGTGCATGTAACAGGAGGATGGGTTTGGTAGCAAACATGGGAATGAGGGGGACTGCATTCCCCTGAATGGAGCCACCCCTCCATTCACAGCTTTGATTCCTCAAGGACTATGGCATCAGTGCAGGCTTCTGGCATCACTTTCTGCAAGTCAAACAGAGAGAAACAACATGGTTAGGATCCTGGCTGGCCAGGCCCAGGCTTCAGAGAGACCAGCTGTCCAGAAGCTGGCTAATTCACAACTCCCTGCTCACGTGCAGAAATCCCCAGCCAAAAATCACCATCCTGAGAATGCACCTGGTTCCCTTCTCCAGACCCTTCTATTGCCCAGACATGGGGCACTGGGGCAGCAGGGCAGAGCAAGGGTCCCACTTCCCTTAAGCTACTTGGTGTAGTCCTCAGACCACAGTTAATTCACAGAAGCAGTACAGGCCCAGGGGTCAGCTCTACAGCCAGCTCACTGAACGTATTTCACTGTGGCACAAGATCAGCCTCGAAGCTTCAGGGCCAGTTCACTGGGCAAGGAAAGGAACTGGGAACTCCTTCATGTCATGGGGCAACACAGTGTCTATGCAAGCACCACAGGAGAACCTGTATGCCATGCTCCCCCAGGAGGCTCAGCACAGCAACTAGCTCCACTCTGTCCTTACTCTGGCTTGCCTGAAGGTCTCTACCTCCCAGATTGCTGGCTCTGCTCATTTTCAGGTCTTCTTGTCCCCACCCCTCATTCAGGGCTGCCACCCTCTGCCCCACATCTTCCCTGTCCCCAGCTTGGATTTATGGCTGAAATAATTCCAGAGTGGTGCAGATAAGGCCTTCAAAGTTCACTACTTGTATCTTAAAGAGCCATAAGAAGTAAGAGCCAAACATACACAAGTTTGAGGTTTTTCCTGCATAAATACTAGAGAAGAATTAGCCTGATTACTTGAACCCTCCTAAAATTTCTTCCCTTAAGATAGAGGGAGCTGTAATTTCCCAGAGGAGGAGCAAGGACAACCGAAACTGCTGCCCAACTACCACCCTATCCTGGGCTGCATGAAACAGCCGAACTTTTACAACTCCAGTTCAGCCTTCCTGGCTGGAGCTTGATCAGCTCTTCTACTGAGCCATTCTGGGGTGTGTCAGGATTAAACCCGAGACTTCTTCCTCCAGAGGATTTCTGCTTACAGTGAGACACCCCACTTGTCACTGATTCAGAAGACAGCATGCAGACTTGCAAGGGTAAATATGGCATATCCCATGACCTGGATTCTAAGTTAACTCACTGTGGGGCAAGACTGACATCTGAGGCAGGAATCAGGGGTATATAGGAAAGAGGTTCACATCCCCAGTGCAGTTCAAGAGAACTCCAGGGAGCATGGAAGCAAGAGATAGTAAACAGTTTAATTTTGAGTAGCCTTTTACACAACTGCAGGTAAAAAGGTTTTATAGACGTCAGCAGCAGTATCCCAAAGCAGAGGAGTGAGATCATGAAAGCTTCAAAGAGGTGCCTGTAAGCAAAAGCCAGGAAGCACACAGAGGGAACTCATACCGGCATGAGGGGTAGTGGGGTGCATGAAGTAGTGCCAGAGGTAGGAGTAAGGGGAAAGCTGCATTTAGGCTTGGGAAAGTGCAACAGAATGCATTATGGAAGAACTCTGAACAGGGTCTCCAAACACCTCTGGGGTCTGAACACTACTCACCTGCTGAGGAGCTACAGGAAGAGAGGTTTTAGGAGAACAGCCTGCCTCAGGGCTCCACCACCTCCGGAAAGGAAGGCTGCCCTCACAGCTGGGAGTCACAGCGCTGGAAAAGTGTATGCGAACAGCCTGATCATGGCTTTGTGACAGGAGGAGAAGGCTGCTTGCTACACAGTAAGCACAGAAAGGGAGAAGTTAAGTATGGGGAGCAGAGGATGCAGTACACATTGTGCCTACGACACAAAACTCTTGGCAGTTTTTCACTGTAAGAGTAAGCATGCTACAACTTGCAAGGAACTCCAGTAAGCTACTGAGGGTGGATGCTCGACCTAAAGCCCTAAGCTGGTCTAAATCACACTGTCCTTGGGAGAAAAAAGCAACATGTTTTTTCGTACTACACTGAGATTCAGCAGATGCATCTTTGCATCCAGGCAAAACATACAACCAGCAAATAAGGGCCTGATTGAGTCGTGACTTATCCAGGACATGGTTTGAAGACACAACAGAAATTCAGTCCTGTTTTAAACAAATCCCTTGCTGTGGCTGTACACCTAGAGCAGGTCACTGGTCATCCAAAATCATCCACTCATCAGTACTCAGCTCTGCTGGTAGCATTAACACTCCAGACAAAAGATTTTAATTTCATTACAATTAAGAAACCAGGACAAAGTCTGAAACCATTTACTGCATATGCATACTCTCTGCTATCAAGAATAGGTTCTTCATACATGCACACGCGTGTGCACACCAAAAACTCCATTTATCTACCACTAAGATAAACAGTGTAAGTCCAGCACAAAGTAATCTCAAGTGCTTTGAACACACATAAATCAAATTTGAAAGTTTCAAAGAGGCCTAGCAACGCCTGGTTTGAACTTAAAAGCAGTCCTGCCATTTTGGAATCCTGCACTCTGTAGGATAGCTGTCTTCTTAAAAGGCCACACAAGCTTAAAAGTATTTCAAAGAAATGTTGCCTAAGGCTTTTCTTGAACAATTCACTCCCGAGTCAAAACAATCCATGGAAACTCGGCAAAGATACTTATTTCCTAATGCAAAGCACAGGAAGGTTTGCATGGATGCTGGAAACCAGGAGCAGGTGAGTGAAAGCCATATGCAGCTGAATCAACTGCCCCTACTATGAAACCTTGAGGCACAATGTTGAAATGTCTTCAGATGCACTTACAACAAAGGCAGCCCACAAAGAGACTCATTATAATGTAAAACAGGCATTTGTTCCAAGTGTGCTGAGACACAGAAAGCTAACCCTGCTGGCACTCTCTGAACTGAGGCAGACTGAAGTGGGAGGATTGCTGGAACCACACTCCAGCTTTATTACTAGAGGACAAGATGCCCACAGTATCATTTGGCTAATTTAGTTTCCACTACAAGTTCTACTAATTGCAATATCTGTTTAATTATAACTGTAAGCAGATAAGGGCACTGATAGAAGACAAACTGCTTGTGAACACAAGGCAGGTCCTGCAGAAAGGGAAACATCATACAGCATGGACAGAGCAGCCAAAACCTCTGACAGGTGGCTGCTAAGAGGCTGATTCCTAGACAGAGTCTCAGACAAATCAATACCAAAGATGTACCCTGCTAAAACTGCCTCAGACTGCAGCACAGACACAGCTTTGGAAGCATTCATCCTGGACTCAAATATTTCCCTGTCCATGGGACTCTTCCTTACGCTTGCATTAAAGTGTGGCAGCTACCCACTTCCTGTAGTACACACTGTAATCTTAGCAGGATTAAGGCTGTTCTTCCCAACAGACTCACTCTGCTTTTGCCTGTTAGTCCTGTTGATTGTGCCAGTGATACACATACTCAGTGAACACTTTGAAAAGCAAAGGGTAGCGTGGTTAATTTGGCAGATCAGCCAGTCAGTGCAAAGCAGAGGACAGTGAGTAATAAAGCATTATACCCTGAGCAACAGCTGAGAAAATGCCAAGTGCTACTGAGATTCACACATCAGCAAGCATAGAGTTTTACAATTTTCATTCTTATACCAAAAGGCACCAACCCAATGACTGTTATTGCTAGATGTTTTTAAACTTCTTTCTTGAAGTTGGCCATGCACCCTGGCTGTGATCAAGCCAACTCTTCTACAGGGCTCCTGGTATCACTTCCAGCCAAGAATCTGGACTGTAAAAGTAATGTCAAAAAAGATTCTCCAAATGCCCGTACCTGCTCTCCCCAGTAACCTACTGACAATTCAGATCTCCATCAGTTCCAGCACCAGGCTTTGCCTTGCTACACTTAGCTGAATCTCTATGCCCCAACCTGACATGAGTCTGGTGGGATCTCCACTCTGCTGGTGAAAGCTGTCTTGTCTTTCCTCTCAGATGGGTACCTGAGAAGGCCAGAAAGATTCTCAGTACTCTATGGCCATTGCTGTCACCCCAGAAGTGCCATTGGCTTGGTGCCTGTACCAGCTGTAAGTGTTCAGAGAAGCAGGTTAGTGTGATTCTCCTACCTTTGTGTATGAGCTAGTGAGCAGGAATGGGAATTGATGGAGTTAGGGTTACAGGCTACAGTCCCATAATCCATGATCTGATTGCTGCCTTGGAGTCTCTGTAACAACACCCACAAGTCACCATACCAGAAAAGCTGGAAGCAAGTAGGGAGGGAAATGAAGGGGGGAAGGGGGAGGGGAGAGGAGAGATAAAAAAAGAGGAACAGGCAAAGGAAGAAACTAGTAAAATTATGGGTAAGTAAAAGCATGTGTAAGACATCTATCTCATGTAGAAAAGTTCCAGTACCTGACTCCACAAAGGTAGCACAAAATCCCCAAGCCCCACTGGCTGCTCCCCTGACTGAGGCATCCATGTTAGTGCAGAACACCAGGTTCAGCCTGCCTTCAGTTGGTTGATCACATGGGGTTGTTAAGCTTGAGAAGTACCCAGGTGAGTTCAGCCTTGTGGAGGACACATTTGGGGGTGTGGTGGGGTGTGTGTCATGACTCCCTCAAAGCATGAGTCCTCAGGGGGAAGGAGCTGCCAGTGAAGTTTTTGCCTGACTGAGACCTGTTACCTCTCACGCACCCCTCCAGTTCTTACTGCTGTCAGTTCTGGGGGGTTTTAGTATTATAGAAATGATACCTGTACCACATTTTCTCTGGTCTCAATGCCCTCTACTCTCCAGCAGCAAGCTTTTACAATTGTATTCATAAGAAAAGATTTAGACTAAAAATGGCTTAAGTGTACAGTTCATCTGGCGAGAGAAGTGATTGACAAAGGGAAAAGGCCTTACTACTACTAAGCATCATGCCAGAGAACCTTGCTATTTCCTGAGCCTTTCACATACATGGTATGAATTAACTCACGGTGCCACCAGCACCTCTCATTACAACCCTGCTGCCTCAGAGCTTGCAGAGGATGGTTTGGTCTTACAACTCATCTTTCGTCTTTGACTTCAGCAGTATTAATTGCAGGATACAACAGTTTTGCATATATTAAAAGAGACTGGTCTTTACCCAGGCTCAGCTTAGCTAAGTGTGTTCCAGTTAGTCCCATTCACACCAGGATTCTGGCATAGCTGTTGTCTTCTAGTCGTCCCATAGACTGTGATGCTCACCACTGCTAAAATCAGTCAAACTTGCAAGCCTCAGAGCAGGAAAAAAAAAAGCAGGAATTCTTCTTAAATTATGACAGTGGGGCTGGGGGGGAGCTGCTTTATCCAAACCAGATAAATTGTACAGTATTACCCCAACCCCACTTAGTCTAGAATTATATTTGCAAGAATTACTCAAGGTGACATTAATTCCCTTCACTTATTTTACTGTCTTTGTGCTCAGATAGTTCAGTAAAAATAAATGAAAAAATAGAAACCAAAATAAAAATAAAAAGCATATATTTTGTAATTGAAAATCCACCTCCTTGAGCAGCCAGCTGGAGCAGAGCAAGACGTTCTGGTCTCTCTCCAGATCAGACTGGTTAGATTAGCTGGAGGAAGGCAGCACTGTTTTCAGAAAAGAGCTGACTCAGGCCACCACAGAACTGAGTTTATGCACTTTGCTAGACATGGTTGCTGATGGCTTCATGAATGTTGAGTGGATGTGTCTGCTAATGTCCTAGAAGAGGAGCCCAGAGCAATAAGAAAGAGAACCTCAACCACCAGTCCCCTCCCTTTTCATGCAGGGAGAGCTTCTAAGAGAGTTGGCAGCTGAGGACAGGGAATAAGGGGAATAACCTGCCTTCCCAGGGGCCTGGAATGACAGTTACCTAGCTCTAAACAAGGGCAAAGCACTGGTAGGCTCAGTGCTTTGTCAGGGGAGAAAAGCAAACAAGCACTGCCCTATATCCGATCCTAGCTGATACAAAGATGTGTGAAGCCCTGCACACTGTCTGAGGACCAGAGCCTCCAGATTCTGTAGTAAACAGAGGCCCCAGCAGCTGGCAGAGCTGGGATTACACCACCTGTCTTAAAATGCCAACAAGAAGCTTCCCCAAGGGCTAGGCAAAAAGTGATGGGATAAAAGAATCACAATTGCAGTCATAATTTGGAAAGGGCCAGCCTCATTCCTAGAAAGGAGAGAGGTTGGGTGTTGTCCTGAGCAACTAGCAGGGGCGCAGCAGGGATTGAAGGAGGGTTTACTCACTGTCTGTTCGTTATCCAAATTGGCCTGCTGTCTTTGGAGATCAGCCTTAATGAATGCTGGAAAAGATGGAGGAAGTGAGACGTGAAGGCAGTTAAGTCACCATGCAAAGCCCATATCAATTTCTCCAGGACTCAAAAGGGCACCACAGGCCAAAGAGTAGACAGGAACATATTACGGTGAGCAAGGGAAGCCATTCTCCTGAATGAGGCAGAGAGCTTTTCTGAAACAGGCAGGATAGAGACTCCTTACTGCACCATGTAGAAGATGCATCTTTGAGACTCCAGCCAGCAGCCAGGGCAAGAAGCCTTGGATCTCCTTTGTAGCACAGACCAGATGCTTAAAGGAGCACAGCAGGTACAGGACTGCTCTGTGGGTCCTGCCCTTTTCTGCAGGCACCACTACACACAAAAGCCCTTCAGTTCATATGCCAAGCCCAAGGGGAAGAGTCACAGAAGAGGAACACTGAAAACTTTAATTACCTGTCATAATGGTTCCCAGTAACAGGAAGGCACAAAGAAATAGGTTTCCTGCCTTTGTCCCAACGTGATCCATGATTTGCCCTTGGCCAATGGTGAAGGCAATACCAAAAATCTATAAATAAACAGAGGCAGTGTCAAGCTGTACTGTTATTGTAAAGCAGCCCAAACAGCTTCCCAGCTTTACTGACATATCAGAGCAGACAGGCCAGCCAAGCTGCAGGCCTAGTGGGGATAAAGTTTGGCTATAAACACATATCCAGAGGCAGCTCCTTACAGCTGATGGAAAGACAAATGACCCTTAAGGCTAGAATGTCATCTCTCACTAGACAAGAGACTGTTAGGGGCAGTGCTGGAAAAGGCAAGGATGACTAGCATTCTGACATATTTTCCTAAGCTGAAACAGAATGGGTGCCAATAGAGAAATGCCATGAGGAACATAATTCAAAAAGCCAGGGTGCTTAGATCTGCAGTGCATTACAATAATCATGGACAAGAAATAGGAGTCAAGGCTACAACTTAACCTTGCCTGTGAAGAGGCAAGCAACAAAGAAAACAGCACACCTACCTGTGCCGAGACATTAAGGAGCCCTGATGATGTTCCTTCTGATTCTGGGTATGTCAACTCTGCAGCAAACTCAAAGCCCAGGGGAAGGTATCCCGTCATAAAAAACCTGTAAAGAAACATGTGGACAGGAAGACTTGGCAACTGCGAGAAGGAAGACTGAAGAGACACAGTGTAGCCCATATCCCTTTTGGGGGGCTTCACTGACTGCACAGGGTGTTTTCCCTAGCATTGTCACAGCCCAGGCAGCTGTCTCACTCCCTCACCATGGCACAGGTCTTCCTCCTACCAAGAAATACCTTTGCCCACATTCTCAAGGCACAGAGGCAGGCCAGCAGGGAGCTGCCAGTTGTTACAACAAGGAATTAAAAGCAGCATCTCCCACAAGTAACTCTACGGGGCAGCATCCCCAGCACAGTCAACATCCACCCAGGCCCACATGCTTTTCATTCCTACCCATGGGTGTCGGGGTTTAAGCCCAGCCAGCAACCCAGAACCACGCAGCTGCTCACTCACTCCCCCCGCCTTCCTCTCCCCACTGCAAACATGGGGCACGAAGCCAATGAACTCAATTGTATATGCTGTTGCCTGCTATGTAGCACTTTTATAGCCCACCAACTTGATGTCTTCAGGTCACTAGCGACTGGCCCTGACTTCCCTCTGACCATCATTCCAACAAAGAATGAACTTTGATGAAACCAGACAAGCTCAGCACTGATGAGTTCTGCAGTGTCATCAGCAGGCAACAATCCAACACTGCACACTGTTTCTCCTGCTCTGAAAGACTGTTAAGAGATGGAACCCGACATCATGGACTGGATGAACTCAGCAGCTTTATAGGGATTGGTCCATGCACTAAGGAATGATCTCTCTCTCTCTTTGTGTGTGTGTGGATGTGTGTATATGTACATATATATATATATGTATATATATATATACACACACACAAGACAAGAGTGATGGTATATTGAAAAATGTGGGATCTGAGCATGATGTGAATGGCACAGAATAAGGGGTGGTTACTGTCCTGGGTTCAGCAGTAGCAGCCATTTTTCTCCTTCTTAGTAGCTGGTGCAGTGCTGTGGTTTTGACTTTCAGACTGGGAACAGCGCTGATAACACCGATGTTTTTAGTTGTTGCTCAATAATGTTTAGTCTGACCAAGGACTTTCTGAGTCTCATGCTCTGCCAGGGAGGAGGGGAAGCCGGGAGGAAGCAGAGACAGGACACCTGACCCAAACTAGCCAAAGAGGTATTCCATACCACAACATGTCATGCCCAGTATATAAACTGGGGGCAGTTACCTGGAAGGGCTAGGGCACTGCTTGGGTCAGGCTGGGTATCAGTTGGCTGGTGGTGAACGGTTGTATTCTCTTCCCTTGTTATTTCCCTTATCATTATTATTATTGGTGGTAGCAGCAGTGATTTGTGTTATACCTTAGTTACTGGACTGCTCTTATCTCAACCCGTGGGAGTTACATTCTTTCAGTTCTCCTCCCCATCCCTCTGGGACCAGGGGGAGGACTGAGTGAGCGGCTGCATGGTTCTGGGTTCCTGGCTGGGCTTAAACTACGACAATGGGTCATTTAGGAGGCTGTGGTACCTCTCACTTCCCAAGTGCTTTCACTTGATTAACTGGAACATTTAAGGCATGCTGATGTCCCTGACTAATGAAACACATACAAGAGAGAGATGGGAAGAGCAGATAATTTTGTCCTTAAACCACACAGGAGCCGCACACAGACTATGACTATCTCAAATCCCACCATGATCTTTGCTTCTCTAGCAGCTCACATGTAGAGGAAAGCAGATCACTCGTGAACTTACCCCAGCATGCCTGCAGTCACAAAGACCACCCAGAGGTGGCCTAAGCTCAGAGTGAAGGTGTAGGCTATCATTCCCACAAGAGACATGATATAGACGACAAGTGTTGTCTGTCTGCAAAGAAAAGCAGAGTCAGGGCTTTATTTAATCCAGTCCTCCTTTTTGTTCACAGATCATTGTATAGTTTGCATAATGTGGTTAATAAATAAACATTATAGGGGGCTTTGTTCTCTGTGGAGTTGGGTTACATCATATCTGTAAGGAGCCACCTATGAAGCAGCCACAAAACTCAGATCCTACCATGGTCTAACAGGTCCTTGGTCATATACTGTACATATAATGTACATCCCTCTCTTGAGAGGGAGAAGAAGAGGCAAATAAAGAGATCATTAAACTTTTTTAGGCACCCTCTGCACTATAACCAGTTGGACATGTTTATTTATAAGTAGGAGTTGAGGGTGATTGAGTACTCCCAAGCAGAAAAGCAAAGGGAAGCGGTGACAACACTGCTCCACTGTTATAGGCCTGTATTTTTCATCGCTGTTCAAAACACCTTTCATTGCTGCTCCTTTCTGTGTTTAAACTGCCTACAGCACTTGGAGAGGTGACGTGCAAGCCGAGCTGCCCTCACAGTCTCACCCTCAAGCCAGGAAAGTGTTTAGCAGGGATAGTGCTAGTTCCACAGCCAGTGGCAGCTGAGACACGAGCTCTCATCTCTGGGCAGAGGGGACAAAAAGACCCTGTGCCCAGGAAGCATGCCAGGCAGGTCCTGGGAAAAGCCAGATCCTGGGAACTGCCAGATCTGCAGCCTGCCCATGCTGAGGAATGTCAGTAGGCTTGGTATTGCAAGACACATGCAGCAGCCCAGGCCAGCTTTACCAGAACTGAAACATTAGCAATTGTCATTCCTGATTAGACACCAAGAAAACTCTTCCTATATCCTCAAAACAAAGCTCTTTCTAGTACAGGAGGTAGCAAGCAGCCCTTCACAGTATATAGGTTTGGAAAGAAAGGAAAAGTAAATCCTTTACCTGAATTAAATTCCACCAGGATCTTGAAAGCAGAACAGTTACCAGAGTTGACAAAACTTTTGGCCATTGTCTTTTAGGAAGAAGTTAAATGCACAACCACAAGCTACTTGTGTACCCTCCACCAAATTTTCGTCTTAATCCATTAAAGAATGTGTTTGGTATCAGGCCCTAGAATTCTACTAAAGAAACTAAACCTCAATCTATTTTCACTTTTTTTTTCTTTTTTAATGCAAATGACTACTGTCAAAATACAAACCCAAACAAACAGCCCAGATCATATTGTGTAAGAAAATATTTCAGTACACTGTGTTGCTACAGATAAAACCAGAATGTTCCAGCTAAAATTCTGTCCTCCCTCACTGCTGCAATGACTGAAGTCAGTGGAGCTCATGCTCATGTGTCAATTCTTATCCAAATACAGGCTTGAGAAGCAAATTTCAGACTTCCAACTATCAACTCATACTTACAAAGGTTCACCAGACACATTTAATGTATTGAAAAGCTAAACACATTTTGCTGTGACAAGTAATTGTGTTTTGTATCAAAGGGGTAGGCAAATTCCTTAACCACCAATGCTGTATCATTTCTAGAATATGTTCTTTCCAGGGCTTTCATGGAGGAAAAAGTCGCCAGTGAAGGCAGCATACGGGGGCCACTTACTTCTGCTATAACCCATTATAGAGAGCTTCTACATGGCTGGCAAACAGTCTAGAGGCTGCAGAAGAACAGCTGAAAGACTAACAGAGGAGTTAGAAAGCAGCCCCAGAAAGTGAAACAGAAGCAGGTAAAAGCCTTTTTCTGACCAATACAGGTTCCTCAGGTATCTCCCATGAAGTGTTACTCCTCCCATCCCTTGACAAGCAGCCACAGAGTAACAGTAATGACTAGGAAAGGGGCTCAAGGCTGGAACTGCAGTTCCCTGGATTGCATAGACCAAGTTTGAACTGGGTGCTCCTCCCATAAACAGGAGTCTCCAAATACATGGCAGTCAGTGCTGTAATACAGCACAAGCCTTCAAGAGGTGGCTGTGGCCCTAAGAAGCTTAGCCTCTGCCAGCAGGGACACCTGAAAAATGTTTGTTTTTTTTTTTATCCCCACAGCCAGTTTTGGTCTCAGTGCAGAGCTCTTAGGATAGCCCCACAAAATTTCACACAGGTTTCCCAGGCTTATAGTTCAAATATTCCAACTCGTTTGTATCTGATTCAGTCTGTCCTGACAGCTGCTAACAGTTGCACTTTGCCCCTCATCTCCAGGCAAAGGTGATAAATGAGTTAGTGACCAGATGTGGTCAGGACTTTGTTCCACATTGATGCTATGTCATTAGTCAAGCTGCAAGAAAGAAGTTCCCAGAACATGCAGCCCCCCAGATGAGAACTAGAACAGGCAGGCTCACAGAAGCAAGGGGCTGCTGAAGGTGTTCTCCATTGGGACTGCAGAACTAAGTGGGAAACAAAATGGAGATAACTGTTTGACCTTGGCATGGGTACTTTATCTACCACACGTTAGCTAGCTCTAAGAGACTACAACCTTTCCTCACTGACCTCCATGAATCATTAGGCTCCAGCATGACAAGATGAATCAACAGACCCTTACGAAAGAGCAAGGCCATGTGCTTGAGTTGTGTGAAAATCATGCACCAGGAAGCATCCTGAAACCATGCACTGAGTGGCTGCCTGCTGACCACAGTCCCTAACTGGGACTTGAGCAGACAGTCCTGAATTCAACTCCTGCTGCAGGAAACAGTCTCAAGCACACAAGCAGACTTCTGCTAAACCAGACTTTAGCAAGACCCAGCTCCCCTGTGCTTAACACTGATGACAAAAAAGATTTAGTGTCCAGTACTCCAAGCAAGGCTCAGATGTTTTGAAAAGGGTTTAATTGAGGCACAGGTAAACACTGGTGTGTAGGGAAACAAAGAAAATCCTGGGAAAAGACACCAGCAAGTGACCTTTATCACCATGTTCACTACAGGACAAGAATGCTCTGTGGACCCTAGGGGCATGGAATAATGCCCTGTTCTCCTTGATCAGCCTCTTATCATAGCCATATATCTTATGGCAGAGATAAAAACACCAATGAGGAGAAGCAGATTCATGGCATTCTGGCTTTGGCAACCTGTTCCCATGATGGCCCTACAGGAACTGATAATTATAATATTTACGTCGCTGACACGGACAGTGGGATTGAGTGCGCCCTCAGCAAGTTTGCCGATGACACCAAGCTGTGTGGTTCAGTTGATACGCTGGAGGGAAGGAATGCCATCCAGAGGGATCTTGACACGCTTGTGAGGTGGGTTGATGAAGTTTAACCATGCCAACTGCAAGGTCCTCCACCTGGGTCAGAGCAATCCCAGGCACAGCTACAGGTTGGGCAGAGAAGAGATTCAGAGCAGCCCTGCAGAGAAGTACTTGGGGGTGTTGGTTGATAAGAAAATGAACATGAGCCGGCTTCAGTGTGCACTCACAGCCCAGAAAGCCAACCCTATCCTGGGCTGCATCAAAAGGAGCATGACCAGCAGGTCAAAGGAGGTGATCCTGCCCCTCTACTCTGCTCTTCTGAGACCTCACTTGGAGTATTGTGTGCAGTTCTGGTGTCCTCAACATAAAAAGGACACGGAACTGTTGGAACAAGTCCAGAGGAGGGCCATGAGGATGATCAGGGGACTGGAGCACCTCCCGTATGAAGACAGGCTGAGAAAGTTGGGGCTGCTCAGCCTGGAGAAGAGAAGGCTGCGTGGAGACCTCATAGCAGCCTTCCAGTATCTGAAGGGGGCCTATAGGGATGCTGGGGAGGGACTCTTCATTAGGGACTGTAGTGATAGGACAAGGGGTAACGGGTTAAAACTTAAACAGGGGAAGTTTAGATTGGATATAAGGAGGAAATTCTTTCCTGTAAGGGTAGTGAGGCACTGGAATGGGTTGCCTAGGGACGTTGTGAATGCTCCATCCCTGGCAATGCTCAAGACCAGGTTGGATGAGGCCTTGGGTGATATGGTTTAGTGTGAGGTGTCCCTGCTCATGGCAGGGGGGGTGGAACTTGATCTTAAGGTCCTTTCCAACCCTAACTATTCTATGATTCTATGGTAATTGTCTGGAACAGGTACCACCAGTCTCCCTACAGCCTGAGTAGTGCAGTGAGTGCAGACTGGATGTTACTGCTAGATCATCTTAAACTGAGGTTAACCTACCTCTGTGCCCTGGGATTTGCAAAAAAAGCCCAGTGCACTGATGTGGAAGACGTGGAAGCAGTGCTACAAAAGCACCAGCTGCCAAGTCTCTGCAGGAGAGCCGGAGGGTCATCCAAAAAGGAGCCGATATCCTTGTCACTTTGGTGAACCTTAAAGCTGTCCTGACATTTATCTGCCCTTTCAACCACATTCTCTTCCCTTCTGTAGAGACAGAGTGCTCACACAGTGAGAGAAGAGAGACCTTAGGGAAAAAAGCCAGCCAGAGCCAGCACCAGCTGGGACTGAAATGGAGAGCCCAACTCCTGCTGTTCAGCCAGCTTCAGAGGAAGTCTAAACTCTGTGTGTATATTGGTGTTTTGCACACCAGGTAATAATCCTGCTTTTGGGACAAGACTAGAGTAAGGAATGGGCATGGCCCAGCCCAGCAGCATCTCACAAGGTCACTTGGATCAGAAAAGCCAAAGGGACAGGACCAGACTCACAGGGGACTGAAGATGCAAAAACACTAAAGTCAAGCAACATCTGAAGCAACAAATGAACAAGGGGTGGGAGGCAGGCCACAGCCACAGCTTTAACTGCTTACTGGGATGTTGTGCGCAGCTCCAGAGTGCTCTGCTGTACAGACTGAGATGACAGACAGCCTCCACAGGCTTTGCCATGAGCACATTACAGCTTGCACAAGGCTCTGAACAAAGGCCTTGTCCCTGTACTTCCAGGAAGATCTCACTGCTGAAGGCACTGAAGTTAAATGCTGGAGAAGGGACAAATTAGAGAGGGCTGGTTGGGTTTTCACCACCCCCTCATCCTTCAGTATTCAGTTTTTGTGCTTTCTTCTTGTATGAAGGTCACAAAAAGAGGATAGCCTTGTAAGTCCTTTTCTGGGAGGAAGGCATATGTGCTACACAAGGACTAACCTGGAAAAGGGCTCCAACAAGATGATCCAAATTGCAAGCCAGGCTAGGCTGAGAAAGCACCTTTCAGTGGAAGAGACCCACGTGCACCTGTTCTCTAATACCCAAGACTTTCCTCCCACTCCAAATTTTGACACACTTTGGGCCTGTACAGACCTAAATTTAAAAAAACACTTGGGGTCCTTTGCCTAGTCAATACAGAGAGATAAATATTTCTGACATCCTGACTTACACAGATGCAGTGATGACAGCAGAGTGTGCTGTCTGGAACCAGCTGGACCCAAGGCCATGTGAGCACTGCCCCTGAAAGCAAAGCATGGCCAAAGAGATGTGGTGCTTAATCTAGTCCCCAAAGCCCTGATTCTGAGGCAGACTCCCCTACAAATAACAAACCAGCAGTCTCTAAGTGTCACAATTCCCTCTCTCCTCTAGGACATGAACCTGAAGGATGTACATGAAGCCTCATTTAACTGGATGTCAAAACACATTCTTTTGAAGAGGTGGTTGTTTCCAAGAAGTCATCCCACCAGAGGCAGCCCCATTTCCAGGACTGCTTGCTCACCACAGCATAACTCACGTTTCTGTATGGGCCAAATCTGTGCCTCCTAATTCCAAAAATAAGAATAGCACAGGGACTCGCCTGGCAAATAAAAGCAAGAATGAAAGGCCATTTGGTGCCTGAGCATGACAGATGGGGAAAGCCTGACTTAGCATAGCCTTACCCTTTCAAGGAACTGCTGACGGGACAGTAAAGATCAAATACGCATGTAGAGCACTGTAATTCTTTCTCTCACTAACCTCCCCCTGCTTCCCTCAATCACAGCTGGATCCCATTCATTTGCTTCCCCCTCTCTCCACGCTGACTAAAAAAAGGACTTGGTATCTTTCCTTCCTGATTTTCATGTGCTTACCGTTTAGTTCCTGACACTTTCTGAGCAGCAGAGGGAAGGGGGAGGGTATCTACCTAAAACATCTGGCATCTTGACAGTTTAATTTTTAAATAGACTTTTAAATGGGGCTAAATAAAGACTCTGTAGCACTCAAAAATTTTGCTAGTTCCACATAAATCCACTTTGTGGGCTGAAATGGAGAAAAAATTCTTAGCTGTGTTCTTCCTCACCTAAGGCTAAATCTATCCCCAGATAGTCCCTGGAGTCTGCAGAGTAATTTCCATAACTCTATTTTTCTGCACTCTGAGTCAGCTGTGCCTACCTATGTGGTCCCTTCCAAGCAAGCAAACATGGTCTTGTTTTCCTAGCCCAAGATACCAGGTAGGATAACGGCAGTGGGACTCCCCCAGGAGAAAAGCTGCTGCAAGGAAAAGAACTCCAAAATTGCCTTCAGATCATTGCCAGTACACCACCAGTAAAGCCCAGATAAAAGATTATAGCACAAAGAGAGCAGAGAAACTGTAAAACTATTTACATGGACCCCAACACAAGACAGGACAGGCACTGTCCATCCCCTGGGAGACCCTACAGAGGTCTGTCAGTGAGATCTCAGTTCCTCAGGACTGGGAGCTTCAAGGCACCCAAAGATTATTAATTGTCCCTTCACAAATGGCAGGGTATGCTGGCCAGATCTGCCGTCCCAAAGCACCAAGCAGCAAACCCAGAATCATCCACCTGCTACCCCAATATTCCTTATGCCTGCCCTAAATTCAGCAACGCGCCCTCACACAATGCCTCTGGGCACTGGATTCAATGTGCCTTTCACTAAGCCGGACAAAGATTCACAGAAGCTGGATTGTAAGGGCTGAGAAATGGTCTGGTACAGTCTTGATTCTGCTTGTGCCAAGAACTCTCTCATCCTTGACAAAGAGGCTACTGGGCCATCTCACTCTCTCCCTATGCCTCCTTAGGGACCACTACTGCAGACTAACACACAGCTTTAAACTTCACTTTAAACTAACTGGATTTTGAAACCAACATTTTTTTCCTACAAACCCTCCCTGGACGGCTGACTTGCAGCTGCACACGGTTGCTCCTTGCACAGTATGGGGGAACAGTACAGTCATTAGGCAAACAAAGAACTTACTTGTAGGTTTTGGTTCTGTCCAACCAGATGCCAGAGATCAGAGCCCCAGCCATACCCGACAGTATAATGGTGAGTCCAATCCTGCCAGCATTCACCTCCTCCCTCTGTGGCAAGACATACAACACACTCACACAAAGGCAGGAGCAAAGTCATAGCCAACAAGGAGCAAAATACAGAGAACTCAGGAAGAGACACCAAAGTTGGTGTCCATCCATGACTTCTTCTGGTAACACACTAATCAGAACTAGCCTTTGCAACAACACTTTGGGGCCCACTGTGAGCCAATGCAATGGCCCATGAAGAAAAGTGGTTTGTCACTTTCTCTGAGCCAGCCCAGAAAAACAGGTGAGCACTGGCCAGTGTGAACAGATACTCTTAGAGGAGTCAGCATAAACCCTATGAAGCTTGCTGTGTAGTGTTAGGACTTGTTGCCAAATCAACCAGGAAATACTGGGAACCACTATGACAGTACAGAAAGGAGCTCTCTGCCATGCAGCCCCAGCAGTAAACTTTATTTAGCTACTGAGGCACCCCACCCTTCTGCCACCAGAGCACAAGTGCAAGCAGCCCTCCGTATGGATGTCCCAGTAGAAATCACTGTAGGAACAGGGTGGAGGCAATTGCTGGAAGGCTGTCATTTAGAGTGTAAAGGAGCTGTCTTTCACAGGGCTCGCCAGCTTTTGCACAGGGTGGTGTCAAGAACTAGAGGAACTAATGCTCTCTTACCAGCCAGCCAACTTGTGCCAGAGCCAGTCAGAAGCGCTGTGGCATTGCATTTCTCACAGACTATCATTCAACAGCCAGTGCAAGCATCAGAGGGTCATGAGGGTTGGATACACTTACTGGGTAGTGAAGGATCACCATGCGGTTCAGCAGAGTGGACAGGGCGTAGAAGCAACCTGTATTCAGACCTGAGAGGGGGATAAAAATGCAGCACATTCAGAACCTGCCACTCTCCTGCTGGGTAGCAAAAGGGTAGAAATTCAGAGAGAGACATGTCTGGGAGCAGTGATCTATAATAAGGCTGCTGACTCTCAGGAGTGCCAGCCAGACTGGCCAGACACAGGTTACTGAAAGAAAAGCGAATAGACCAAAGACAACCATGTCTCAGCATGCACGAGGAAGCACCCTGCAGTTTCAGGATGGTTCTTACCTTGGCAGCTAGAGGAAGAGCTGCGCATATTTCTGGTACTGAGAGGGTCTTGCAAGTCCTTCATAGGGTCTCAACCCTCCCTCACACCCAGATCCATCTTTAGCATTGGAGTTTTCTCCTCCCCCCAGTCAAGGTAAAATACTAGAAAAGCACCTGCCTCAGCATTACACCTTTAGTAAGGACCTGGGATTTGATTAACACCAGTGCCATTGACCGGTGCAGTTTCCTCCCAGGTAAGAGCCTGATAGCACTCTCCCTGCTGAGAGCCAGTAAAAACCCTCTCCAAGCTGAGGAACACCAGAAGGCAAATAAGAGCAGAGCCAATGGGGAAGCACAGACAGCATTTCCCCCAGGCACCTGGTGGGAGTGTCTGCATGAGAAAAGTCTTGCATTTTAAAAGGTATCACTGAAGCCTGAAAAAAAAACCCATCTGTGAAAGTAATTGTCTTTCTGAAAGGGAAGTCATATTAACTGTTACAGGCATCAGCCACCTGGTGAAGATTTCTCAGTATCACCCAAGGTGAGAATGAAAACCGTTGGGTTGATACTGGTCAAGCCACACTTAGACACTCTGCTCCAGCTTACATGCAACTCTGGTTAAGTTAAATGTCTTCCCAAAGAGCACAGAACCCAAGGGTTTTGCTTACAGTACAAGAGCATGCACAGGGGCGCCAGACCAGCAGTACTGCAATGGCCACACTCTCACCTTGGGTGACACTGAGAAACCTTCCCCAGGTGGATGAGGTCTGTAACAGTCAACACAACTTTCTTCTCAGAAAGTCATTTACATTTGCAGTTAGTTTCTCTTCAAGGCTTCAGTGATCCCGATGGGGGAGGGATGGGAACACAACACAGATTTCACTACTGCAGGTTGCACATCTATAGGCTCCATAAGGAGGCATGGGTTTAAAAACTCTGGCACAAATGCCCAAAATCCTGACAGAGCACATACAAGTCAAGTTCCCACTTCCTACTTTTCCTTTTTCAGCCTCAGCTAAAATGAAAAACACCACAATATATAACACAGAAGTGCAGTCTAGCAGGCAGAGCTTTGAAAAAGGGAACAATATCCTGAGCTTCCCAGGTCCCTGAAGACCTCCAGCTTCCCTGACCCTAAAGTACTTGGTAATCTGTGCCTAGCCCATCTTCCACTGAGACACTGGATACCCATTGCCCTACACAGCTCATGAAGTACTGGGAGGAGCCACAAGATTGGCAGCTAGAAGGGACATCACACTTCCTTCACATGCCCTCACTGACAAGTTTAAGCAGAACTCACTCCACAGCTTTATGGCACAGAGAACAGATGATGAATCTTATGCACGGGATCCCAAATAAGCCAATTTCCTGTGACAACACTCCCTGCTCTAAAAGCACGTATCAGGAGATTACAGGAGAGGCTAGTAAACGGAGTGACAGGCTCTTTAGGTGAGAGGAATCCACCCAATCCTTTCCCAGAGTTACTCAGGAGGGCTGGAAACTCCAGCAGGGCCAGCAGTCAGAGAAAGGGAGATCTTGCAGCAAGGAGGCCCCTTCAGCCTCAAAAGCTGACTCTTTGCAATACTAGGCTATGGCAAAACAGCCCACAAGAGTTTAATTCGACTTCATCCTTCCTCTACCTCTGAAGCACACTGCTCACTGGGAGACACCACAAACTGCAATGCCAGGACACGGAAGTGTGGCAAATCAGCACCATCCCTACTACTACCCGCTACTCCTTCACTTCAAAGCTGGACATAAACAGTTCATTTACCAGTCATTTGCGTTACCTCTACTTCTCATCCAGCCAAGAGAACAGTAGGCTTGTAGGGACAGCCAGATGCTGCTCTGGTAGCTGATGCTGTCAGTACCCCATCTTCACAGCAGCTCTGTGAGGCATGTGATACCCAAGAGAAATAAGGGACCCTGCTCACAGGCTGGGTAGAAAAGTAATGCAGAGTTGGCACCAACACTTGGCATCAGAGTCAGGCAAAATATTCTAAGAATCAAGACAATGTACTGAATTTGCATTCTGGGGACTGGCAAAAGGTGTAGGTATTCCACATGTCACAGTTGCTCAGTTAAGTTTCTCCATAAATTACATCTGTTTGAATGCCCATAAAACAAGCAACAGTTGTTTCCCCAGTGGGGTAGTGCCCATTTGACCAGTCTTTCCCACCCTTTTCCTGCCTACCGCCTCCCAGCAGCAACATGTTTTCCAATGCAGAGCCCAACCCAATAAACTCACAGTTTGTTAATACCCATTCCGGTTTATGTCTCAGCTTTATGGAAGCAATGTCTGCAGCCTTTGGGAAAAGCCTGTCTGAGGGCTTTCCTAAAAAACAGCTTACTAGCACTAACATAGCCACAGTGCCACCAATGCTTCCAGTGCTGCAAGTCCTATCCCGGGAAAGGGGTTGGCAGCTGCTGGTAACATCCAGACCTTAGAGAACTGCAGACCTGTTCTGAACTGGTATCGTGTAAGGGCTCCCATTCTTTCTACAGCCAGGGAAGACGAACAAGAAGCAGGTTTCCCCCTCTTCCCCCAACACACACTATGCGAATACAAAAGGCTGTAGCTATCTTTGTGTTAGCTAAGAAGGACGACTCTTGCACTCCTGTGGCTGCAGATGTCTTACATCTTGGCCAGCATAACTTTTGACTTGAGTAGGAAAAACTGCCTCCACTTTCAAGTCACACTAATTAAAAAAAGTTTCACTGCACAGTTCCCTCTCTGCGTAACAGTCACCATCTCAAGTCAAGCTAGAGATCGACGTGAGGCTGATACAGAGGAACAGAATAAAGGCACAGACCAGCAGAGACTGAATTAGAAGCCACTGAACTGCCTTTCCATATCTTTTTGACAGCCAGAAGGGAATTATATCAGGGAGGTCAGATTCTAAACATACTCTTCACACCAGAAGTCTTCCTCTCTCCTCTAGAACTCATTTACATCTACTAGAACAAGTGCTTTCCCCCTTTCTTTTATCTAAAGGGTGTGAACTGAGCAGACAACACAATCCAATTTTCAGATAGTCTGCCTGTTTTTCTTACCTCTGCTTTCTGAGAGGACATCATGTACTACAAAACAAAATAAAATAAACAAAAAGCCAAACCAGCAACTGCAATGCAAACCAGTAGAGCTTAAGGGCGATTCAAGAGGGGCACTGAAAAGGGAGCAGAGAATTCAACAACTCTGAAGACCATTAGCACCCTCAGCAGGTACAAAGCCACAGTCTCATTCACTCCAACCTGGCTACTCGTCCACCAGGTTCTTTAGGCACAAATGCTGGCAGAGCAGCAGAACTTCCAGCACTAATTAACTTTCCCCCTGAGGAGCTTCCACAGCAAGCTGGTAGTAAGTGAAGACAGAACTCCCTGCAGACTAGTTGGCTACAGTATATCCTATTATGCAGCCAGGCATAGACCACAATGACCTTTTCCGCTAAAGAGAAAAACACTTTTCCATATGACAATTCAGCATCTGGAACAGATTCAACACGTCACACTGCCCTCAAAGAAACAGACCAAGACTGCTGAAGAGAAGCAACCAGCAAAGCCAGTATGCAAGGACAGATGGCAAAAGATGACATTCTCCAAAATCCTTCCTTCCATTTGCTTCACATGAGGAATGCCAAGGAAGCTGACACAGTCTGCACTCGTGCATACTCCATGTGACCTCCTCGGGGATGCCTGGCAGCCATAACCTTGCCTTGGGAAATTACCTTCACTCAGTGCTGCGACTTGCACTTGCTTACACATAAGCTCTATACATTTCTTAGGTAAGCAATTAAGATTAGTTCATTGCAAGTAACTAACAACAATAGGATAGAGAAATCCCCTGAACAGAAAACAGTCAAAGACCAGGAGAACAGTAAGGGGAGTATATTGTCATGTGTGTGGTTGCCTTGTCTTTCTTATTCTCTATGCATTTGCTTGTAATCACTACTGGAGATTACTGGGCTAGAAGGACTCCTGGCCCTTACGCGTCCCTAAAACAACCCAGGCTGTGTACTGCCCCAGCAGATCATGGAGAGAGAGGGAGAAGCTAAGCATGCCTAGAAGCAACAACTGCACATAACAAACGCCAGACCTTACCGTAGGTGACCATAAGTAGCACGAAGTTGGCATTGAGGAACAGACGGAGGATTGATTGCATGTAGGAATACTCCTCTGTCGGTCTTGACTGGACCAAGGCCTGAGCTCGGCTTGGAGGGTGCAGAGGCTTCTCCTTGAAGACTGAAACAAGACACAAAGCACACATGTTTATAGCAGCGCAATCAGGGAGCCTGTAGCCATTTGAGGTATGGCAGAGGAGCTAGTAAAACCAAGTGTTCAAAACACACCATCATCATTAAGCTTTGATCTCCATACACGAATTTATTCAGCAGTAGCAGAGAACAGGGTCTTTCAAATAGTAACCCCTGCCACTGGGAAAACACCCTGCCTTCAAGTAGCTTTCTGTGTAGGCAATGCCTGGCAGCAACAAAAGAGCTCAGGACTAATGATGCCTTTGTCTCTAGGAGGGTGGCCAGCCAGCAGCTAGTGTTGCGTGGAGTTACAAAAGCGTAAGTGAAATGGGAAAAGCAGCTGGCAAAGGTGGCCTGGTGCCCTGCAGTGCCCAGGGCCTGCAGAGCAATGGCCTATGCCAGGTTTTATTTCAGGCCTGGCACTTCTTAGGCTGCCCTAGCTATCTGCTGTCTGTAACTAGCAATAAAGTAGCATCCAGAAATCCCAGCCACAGCCACAGGTCATACTGCTGTACCAGGCGCTAGACAGCCGTTTTTGTACCTTGCCTATTCCTTGCCCCAGATTCTTTAAAGCCTATATCTGATTCACCCACCAGGCAACAGGAACAAGCTGGCAGGAAAAGCCCAAAACAACCCAAAACATGGATTTTATCAGACAAGTTCTGCTCTCCAGTGAGTGTGCCAGTCTTTTACGCCACAGTTTTGGCTTCCATGTCACATGCTAACCAGGGAAGCTGCACCTCTGGTGTCCTGATACTGCTCTTAAAGCCTCCTTCTCTCCACTCACAACTGGTTACCTTTTTTTCTCCTGGGAACAGCTTGCTCCAGTGATAACATATAACCTGACTCTTCCTCCCTTCCCTTTAGAGGTAGTTAGGTCCAAGACACAAACCCAAGTCCCAGCACCCTGTTTTGCAGGCAAGATGATCTGTGAACCTCAGAAGATTTCTGTTATCTTTCGATGGACTTAACACGTGCCAGGGTTTTATTATGCAGGCAAAGGATAAATTTAACAATTTGGCAGGTGCTCCCAGAACTTCTTGTACTCCCTTCTACATGTGCTGTTCATCAAGGGCTTCAAGCTGCAAGATACGCTATTGTATGACCCTGTCAGCTGTTTGCTAGGACACATCCCAAGATGACCTCCTCAGCCCACTTCCTAGCACACAGGTCCCTCACACACAGGCTGATCTTCTCAGTCCCACCTAGTTTCATTATGCCACCTCCTCACCTATGACGACCAAGATGAATAGGGCTGTTGCTACACCTGCAGTCATGAAGAACATGATGCTGATGTGGTAGGCCAGCTTCTCTGCATCATCCACATTGGGAACCAGAACTGGAGGGACCAGAAAGCCCACAGCGATGCCAAGCTGAGCAGGAGAGGAGACAAAGAGAGGTGTGACATGGAACAACAACACTGCCACCACCCCACAGCTCAGCCCCCTGATGCCCACTAAGGACTCGACTGAGCCTAATCCAGTTTCACAAACAAGGTGAAAATCTTCTTTAGCATCCCACAGTTAAGAGATAAAAGCCAGCTACCCATTGCAATTAGGCCATGAGAGGTCCCCCCACTGCACTCACAGCTGTCTGGATATTCAAGGCAAGGTTTTACAATAGAATTGAGCAGAATGACTACCCACTCCTATCGAAGTAGAGGTCTTGTTTCCCCTGTCCTCCCATCCACACATGTTCCTGTTCGCACACACATCCCACCCCTTATTTTGCACCTGTTCTGGTGCTGGCCTGATGACCTGGGAATCCAGCTTTGCTCATTAAAAATGGCAGAAAACAAGACCATCAAGGCACACCACAATTATTTGCTGTGTTAATGAGTTGAACCAAATTATTTTCCAGTGAGAGAAGCGCAGGGGCCTAGAACAGAAACCTGCCTACTCCTAATGAGTGAGATACTCATCTGGCACAAATGCTTTATGACAGTTTCCTAATGAGTCCCCTCCTTAGACAAGGCTCAGGCTATGACCACTAGAAGAACCCAGAAAAACAAGGTTGAGAGCAAAGGAAGTGTTGATGGCACGTATCCTAAACGTCAAGGCTGTGTGATAGGGCTTGGCAACTGTCCCTGGATAAAATGCTTGGCTCTGAAGGGCTCCAAGAAGACACCCTGCAGCTCTAGCCTCTCCTGTGCAGAGCCACACAGGTGCAGCTGAGGGGCTCCTGCAGTGACTGCACACACTTTAGTGAGGACATTAGAGTTTTTTAACTCCATAACTATTTCTCCAGGACAGTGAAAAGGAGCTGTAGCAGCACAGACTGCCACACCAGTAACTGCAACTGATAGTGGCACCCTCAAATAGGAGAGGGAGGAAAGAGTCACTTTGGTGCTTAGGAGCACACCTCACAAAGGGGGAGCCAAAGTGCACTCAGTACACTCCTGAGTACTCTAAACACAAGAGGTGCCTATAAATGCCACTTTCTCCCCTTCGTGTTGCAGCGGTTTTGGCTGAGCTCCAATCACTGTTTGGTTCTCAAGCATATTTACCTGTTCTGGCCCTTCCCAGCACCTGCAGCCCTCTCGAACATCAGAGAAAGAGCCACACTCGAGCTCAGCTCTTGCTTGCTCTCAAGGCTCTGCACGCATTTGGGGCAAAAGCAGTTTTTTGTTTTGGCAGCACCCTCATTTTTGCTATTTCCCAATTTAAGCCTATATTGGCTGTTGCGGATATTGACAAGGCACACACAGGATCCTCCAATAGATGAAAGGACTGAGAAAGCACCCAAGAGAGAGATGCCAAGTGGCCATGCAGCTGTTCTCATACTTGCTTGAAAGAGATTTCCAATCTCTTTTGCAGGTTGTACCATTTGCCTGGAGACAGGAAAGCACCAACAGTACCAGAACAGTGCTAACTTAACCAATACAGACCAACAGCATAAAAAAAATCCCACCCACAGTGGTTATTCAGCTACACCAATACAGCCTTTATAGAGCCACTCCCCTCATCACAGTAAGAGTGGAGGTAGAAGGTACGCAAAACATAGACATGAGGATATAGTCAAATTAAGCCCACTGAATTTACTGTTTCTTTATAGGAAACATTAGATCAATAGGAATCAATTAGCACCACCATGACCTGTTGTCCCTGTATAATGGACTGTTTATGCCTCACTAACAACTGAACATCAGCAAGATAGTACCACTAGCCAACTGCTGCCCTGCAGAAGGATTCTGCAGTTCTCCCTGTATTAACAGTCCCTGGAAAGGGTCTATTACTCCACAGGTACGGAAAGCAAGGACTAAAAAAGGCAAGGACTATCCCACCTATAAACTACATCCAAACATGTCAGCATACAGAGCAGAATGACCCAGGAGCCCCTTAACCCAGGCAAGAGCTCAGACATACTGCTGCATTCTAGCAAAAACTCCTTGTGCTTTCTTCATGCTTTCTCTGACATATCTCCATGTTTCTGGGATGTCGATGGAATCATTTTAGAAGACCCACTCACTGTCCAGGATCAAGACCACAGAACAAATGTATTTCAGGTGCCATATCTGGTAGCAGTGATAAAAATCAGCCTGTGCTGTTCAGCCCCAGAAAACTCCACAAACTCCCTCTTCCTCTACCTAGCTGGTGGATTTCTGAGACAGGAAGAACACTTGGTTCAGTCAGAGCTATCTGCTAGATGCAGGCACCCTATTTAAGCTTACAAACAAGTAACTTTCAACCACATTTGGCCAAGTTTGTCTTGTGTCAAGCTGCCCTGCACCTGGACCTGGCATAGCCTGGGTCAGGATCAGCAACAGGCATCTGTGCCAAGTTCATTTTTGGTGCTGGGTCATCACAGGCAGCCAGTTGGAAGAGTCACCAGTCGATTATAGATGTGCCCCATAGGTTCAGGGCATTGTCAGGAATGAAAACATTCAGGGTTGGCCCCAGCAACCATACTAACAGGAGTTACATTTTATATTTCAGAAAAACCGGCATCATTAATTCTATGACGATGAGGCCCCCTGACTTGACTAAAACTGAAGATTTCCTGCAGGGTACTCATAGACCCTGGATTAGTCACACTGTTTTTAGCAATAAAGATAACCTCTCAAAACCACAATGAATATTATACAGCCTTACCTTTCACAAGGAAATTTTTAGCCTGGTTCACTATCAGCCCAACAGCCAACACTGTAACTGGTTAACCAGAAAATTTAAGCATGCCTTTACAAAGGACAAGTAACTTTTCTCCCTTCTCCACACCTCTCATGTCCAGGCTGGGAAAATAAAGCAATGTAAAAATAAGGATGGCTCTGCAACAATCTGTGCTACCCTCCTTACAGAGATCATAGGTCATTAGGGCTCACAGTGCAGTCCCTCTCACCAGCATACAAATTAGCATCTCCAACCTTTGTACAGGCAGAAAGTCTCCAAGACCTATACAGATAGGCTCCAGTTACCCAAACTTGACATAGCATACAGCATCCCCACTCCCAAAGCACAGACCATTGTCCTGATCTCTGTGAATCTCTTCTCAGGAACCAGACTGGTACTTTATTTTAAGGTAATTCTTAAACTGAATACCAGGGAAATCAACAACTACAGAAGAGCACACTGGTCAGATGACTTATTATTTAAAGACTGATAAAGCATAGAAGGAATGTATTTCCTACCTGAATTTTTGTCAGGAACCAGTCCCAACAACATCATATGCAAGATTCAAGCGTATACAAGAACAGGCAACAAAACCAAGAGCAAGTGGCTCATAAGATGGTATAAATGTACCAAAAGTCTTGAAATGGAAAATGGGATGTGTCACTTAAATTTAGCTGTTTGTATACTAAGAGTCTGCTGAAGGAAGATAATCAGCGCAGTATCAGCATAAAAACTGTAAATGCATGATCAATGGAGGAGTGGGTCTTCACCTTAAAGAAAACTAAGAGTCAGCAACAAGAATACAAAAGCCCTGTAAAATTCCCTAAGTAAGCACAAATACTGACAGAGAAGGCCACCAAACCCAGAAGATCAATTAAAGTGTTAAAAAATAGAAAGAGAGAGATGCTGCAAGGGCAGAAAAAATACAACAGTGAGAAATTCTGACAATGCCCTTGCAGGCTAAATAAGCGTCATGACAGGGATGATGCAGAGACTGCAGTTTTGGATTCCATAAATACTCTTTTCTGATAAGAACCTTTAAGAGGCAGCACAACTTGTGATTTAGACCTAAAACAGCACAGTGTGACCATGCTCAGTATTACAGAATGGTTCTGCATGGCACTCAAATTCAGCTTCCTTGCAGCAGCAGCAAAGAAAATCCTCAGTCTCCAGAGAACTATGGCAATATTCAACTCAAGAGGGAGCTGCCTAAAAGGAAAGGAGCTTTGTTGAAGGGAAATTAAAAAGAAAAAAAAAAAAGTAAAATTAAATGCTTGCAAGTGGCATTACGGCTGTGTAAAGACACTACATCAGAGGTGCAATGTAAGCCTACAGAATATAGCAAAAGGTCTTAGAACACCTTTACAAACTAAGTCAAACCTTCAAACCTCTTCAAAAAGCAAAATCAGGAAGCCTGTCAGGAAGGCTGTAAGGCCAAAAGATGATCACTATGAGAAGTTTCCACATAAACTGAACCTCTTCACACTGCGAAAATCTGAAGCACTATAAATGGAAGATCTTAATTTATTTCAACTAATTTCTTCTATGAGGCATCAGGACCAGATGGTCAAGATCAAGTCAACAGAAAGCCCCCACTGCTTGCACTCAAACACATCAAACTGCTATCTCCACTGATATCAAATATTCAAATCAGAAATGGAGGAAAAGAGATCTGAATTTTTAAGAGGCTGAGCACAGGCAGGCATCCCAGGAAACCCTCAGAGCCAGAAGGCCTGGGGTTGGCCAAATGGGCAGAAACTGTAGAAAACAAAAAGCTGACATTTACACATTGTTACCAATACAAAAGGCTTTTCAGACACTATGATTTCAACAATCTCAGCAAGTTCCCAAGCCAAGACTTCGGAGAGTTAAGAGGACACACTCTTTTTAGTGTTTTTCCCTTAGCAGTTATCACTGATTGGCATGGAGCTGCTTGACAAATTGGACCTGACCTAAGACAGATGTTTCTCTGGTGGGATGCATTTGCAAAGGCTTTTGGGGGAAAACAAAAAAATAAAATTAAATTCAATAAAATCAAGGGCTTCACCTGCTCTCAGCAAAGGGAGTTCATTGCAGTTGTCAACACAGCACTGGAGCTACTCTACTTGTCCACCCCCATAAAAACGACCTTTAACAGGGCCCACACTCCTTCTGAACTGGGTATCAATCAAACAGACATCACTCACACCCCCACCCCAGGATCAGCCCAGAGAACAGAAACAGGAGAATCTAGCTACCTACCACAGACCTCTCTTCGAGGGACATTT